TTTTTTTTTTTTTTTTTTTTTTTTGGGAGACGGTTTCGCTCTTGTTGCCCAGGCTGGAGTGCAATGGCGCAGTCCATCTCCCACGTTCAAGTGATTCCCCTGCCTCAGCCTCCCGAGTATCTGGGATTACAGGCATGCGCCACCATGCCCAGCTAATTCTGTATTTTTAGTAGAGACGGGGTTTCTCTATGTTAGCCAGGCTTGTCTCGAACTCCCAACCTCAGGTGATCTGCCCCCTCCCCCCCACCCCCGCCCAGCCTCCCAAAGTGCTGGGATTATAGGTGTGAGCCACTGCATCCAACCTAATCTCTTTTTGAAGTATCCTGTGTGTTAACTTACTCTCAAAATATTTGTTGTCTCTGTAGATTTGATAATGGGCTGCATTAAAAGTAAAGAAAACAAAAGTCCAGCCATTAAATATAGACCTGAAAATACTTCAGAGCCTGTCAGTACAAGTGCAAGCCATTATGGAGCAGAACCCACCGCAGCGTCACCGTGTCCGTCATCTTCAGCAAAGGGAACAGCAGTTAATTTCAGCAGTCTTTCCATGACACCATTTGGAGGATCCTCAGGGGTGACACCTTTTGGAGGCACATCTTCCTCATTCTCAGTGGTGCCAAGTTCGTATCCTGCTGGTTTAACAGGTGAGATTTAAATAGACAGTTATGTTGTCTGTTTGAGAATATAACCTTGGGTAATGTATACTTAAGGCTTGCCTGCTGTTAAGAACGATAATCTTACTGGAGGACTTTTCAAACAATTGTATGTGAAAATTAGTCTCCAACATAAATATTAAAGTCTTACTGTATACATGTGTGTCGTTCTGGGAAATTCGTGGTAACCTGATGGTGATTATAGACTGGATCATATCATTTATTATTTTATTTAACTCATTATTCAAATAGTTATTGAGTCTCCTATTGTATGGGTAGGCCCTGGGAACATAAAGATTAAAAACATACCTTTCCCTCAATAATTTGACAACTCAGGACTGTAAAGTGCTTTGCAGTATTAAAGTCTTACAGTAGTTACTTAATAGATGTTAATTAAATGACAGTAAAGTAATAATAATACAATATTTCTCCCAGATGATGCTAATTTAAAAAAGAAAATTCCTGGCCAGGAGCAGTGGCTCACACCGGTAATCCCAGAACTTTGGGAGGCTGAGGCAGGTCGATCACCTGAAGTCGGGAGTTTGAGACCAGCCTGACCAACATGGATAAATCTCGTCTCTACTAAAAATACAGAATTAGCCGGGCGTAGTGACACATGCTGGTAATCCCACCTACTCAGGAGGCTGAGGCAGGAGAATCGCTTGAACCCGGGAGGTGGCGGTTGCGGTGAGCCAAAATCACGCCATTGCACTCCTGCCTGGGCAACAAGAGCCAACCTCCATCTAAAAAAAAAAAAAAAAAAAGAAAAAAAGAAAAATCCTAAAGCTTGGAGAGTTTAAATGATTTTCCCGCCAAGTTACAGATAGTAGGTGGGAGAGCTCAGATTTAATGTCCTATTCCAGAATTCCAATTATTACATCATATCCTTTTAGAGAATAGCAAGAAGTGATAGTTGACAACCTTTCATGGAGACAGAAGGCTGTTAAAAAAAAATAGATTCAAAAAGTTTTAAAAGAGAGAAAATGAGCTCTTTTGTAAAGGGTCCTGTATCAGGATGCTTTTTCATTGAAGTAACAAAGGTAGGGTGAGTTTCAGGATTCCTTGATACAGCAGTTCTATGATGTCATCAAGGACTCAGATTTCTTTCATCTCTCTTCTGCAGCCCTTAGGCGTGTCTGCCTTATCCTTAGGCTTGGCAAAACAGCTGCCAGCATTAAATCAAGCAATATATGTTCTTATTAACAGCCAGTGGGGAAAAAAGATAAATCTCCACCACAAGCATGGACTATAAATTTGTCTCTTCAGTCTGTTCCCACTGAACCAAAAACAATGGCCAGGCCAGGCGCGGTGGCTTGTACTTGTAATCCTAGCACTTTGGGAGGTCAAGGCAGGCAGATTGCCTGAGCACAGGAGTTCGAGACCAGCATGGGCAACATGGCAAAACCCTGTCTCTACTAAAAATACAAAAAAAAATTAGCCAGGTGTGGTTATGCACACCTGTAGTCCCAGCTACTTGAGAGGCTGAGGCATGAGAA